TTCTCCGCCCATCCTTGTAACCTGTCAAGGTCCGACTGTAGCCTGTTGCTCCCTTCTATTGTGCCCACATCCCCCCACATCTTGGTATCATCAGCAAATTTGAACAGGGTGCTTTGCACCCCCTCATCCAAATCACTGATGAAGATGTTGAACAGGGCGGGCCCGAGGACCGAGCCCTGCGGGACCCCACTGCCCATGTCCTTCCAGGCCGAGAAGGACCCATTCACTACCACCCTCTGGGTGCGGCTCTCTAGCCAGTTGGCGACCCATTGGACTTTGTGGGTGTCTACGCCACAGTCCCCCAGTTTCCTAATGAGAACGGGGTGAGAGACAGTGTCGAAAGCCTTCCGGAAGTCCAGGAAGACTATATCCACTGCTACCCCTGCATCCAATGATTTAGTGACCTGATCGTAGAAGGCCACCAGGTTGGTCTGACATGACCTGCCGCTGATGAACCCGTGCTGATTGCCCCTGAGCATGCATTTTCCTGCTGGCCCCTCCTGGATGTGTGCCAGAATAATTTTCGTGAACAGCTTGCCCAGGATCGAGGTAAGACTGACTGGCCTATAGTTTCCCGGGTCCTCCTTCCTCCCCTTTTTGAAGATGGGAACCACGTTGGCCCTCTTCCAGTCCTCCGGCACCTCTCCAGAGCACCACGAGTGCTCATAAAGCTGCGCCCGGGGACTCGCAATGACCCCGGCCAGTTCCTTTAGAACTCTAGGGTGGAGATCATCCGGACCCGCTGACTTAAAAACGTCCAGCCCCTCCAGCAGTTCCCTAACTAGATCCTCACTTACTCTGGGCTCAGGTGTGCCTCCCTCGGGGCCCGATGGGGGCCTGGCAGGGAGGTGGCAGTTCTGGTCCTTACTGAGGAAGACAGAGGCAAAGAAATCATTAAATATGTTGGCTTTGTCGTCTGGTGTGACAACCAGATTCCCCGTCGCGTCCTGCAAGGGCCCCACATTACCCGGGGCCTTCTTTTTACTCCCTATGTATTTAAAAAAGGACTTCTTGTTGTCCTTAATCCAGGAAGCTAGTCCCAGTTCCATCTCTGCCTTGGCCTTCCTAACTACCCCCCTACACCCCCAAGCAACTGCCAAATAGTCCTCCTTGGTGATGACCCCTCCTTTCCATTGGGAGTAAGCCTCCTTTTTAGCAAGGAGACATTCCCGGATGTTTTTGGTGAGCCATTGAGGCTTGTATCAGATTTGTTTCTAGAGTACAGTCAACTTAAAAAAAAATATATTTTGGCCTTCATATTGATTCCTTAGCTTTTGTCTTTGTGCGATTATTTTACAGGAGCTCAATGGGTGCCGCTTGCTACAGAGATCCAGCAATTTGAAGCCTATTTATTGTTTGCTTGTGAGCCAATAGACCTGTCTACTATGTGGATGAGAGGAACACTAGAAGAGCAGAAAAGGCATCTTGCTCTGGATACAGAGGCATGAGTTTTAATATGACTGCACATTTGCACTGAAGGTCATACCCTGTCAACTGAGAAATAAATGGGGTAGCGAGTAAAAGTAGCTGAACATGATGCTCCCATCACTGCCTTGTAGCTTGTGGTCCAGTTGACAATCTAAACCTGAGATGACTGTTGAGTAGTTTGATAATTTTGATTTCTCTGCTCTGTACATGCTATAACAGGGAATGGTATTGTCATAAGTACTCTGTGATTAATTGACCTAAATCTGTCCCTTTATTTTCTTGGCTCTTATTTCACACGCCCAAAGATGAAAACTCTGGGGAGTGTTGACACTTTTCTTTGTGGATATTTCTGAAATGTTTTGCCATGTTGTTGTTGTTGTTGTTTTTTTTGGCAAATTCAACCTGAATTGACAGATTTACAGCCACTACGAAGCTATAGATTTTGGCAAATAAATGACTTGTTAAAAATTGTTCTATCCAGCTCTATTTGCCATTACTAGAAAAAAGTTTAGTCATGTGATTAAGACATATGCAATGGGATCTTAACTCTTCCACAGATTTCCAGGGTGGCCTTGGAGCTATCCTTTAATCTTTGTTCCTGTATCTGTAAAATGGGTATAAGATTTTCATTGCCCTATCTATGTCAATGGAAAATTATTTAGTGAAGGGACAGTTTCTTGTTTTTGTACAGGGTCTATAATGACAGGCCTCTAATTTCACTAGGTGCTACCATAATACAAATAAAAATAGAAATACATTTTCATATGCTTCTCCCTAATACCCTAGTATTTCATTAGATCCCCTGGCATTAGAATCATGGCCTTTGAAAGGACCTCGAGAGTCATCTATTCCCCAGGACAGGCACAGGATGCACTATTCCAGGGAGTACTGTCTGAGAGTAACGACCATTTTATACTCCATGTGTTCTTTTTACCTTTGAGCTTTATCCTGCCGTAAGTACTATAGACTGTAAAAAAAAAACAACAAAAACCAAAAAAAAACCAAAAAAAAAAACCAACTGTACTTTAATCTTGAATGTTTCCAGCTTCCTTTTTTATATCTTGTGGCTTTTGGTTCTTGGGTAGTTTCCAAAACACATCCTCATAAATTACAATTCAATTTGTCTAGGAAGGGCAGTTTTCAAGTGTCTGCTAATGACGTTGTACACTGTAATGCCTGTGATACAAACAAAGAATGTCAAATACTGCTTTAATGACACAACCTGGAAAGTGTTTTTTTGCAATAACTTTGATGAATTCAATCTTGAAATGTGAGTACAACATTCTGTCTTGAGGGAGCTTCCCAGTGGAAAGGAAACAGACACTTGTAAAGAGCATATCATTTACAGAAGGATTGTAATCAATCATGTAGCAACTTTATGGTGCGCTGGAGGGGAAAACATTCAGTATCCATAGCATGTAAAAAGGGTCTTGGTAAATGCACTTAAACTTAAATTGCTGTGAAAATCCTTGGATGCCTAAAATGATGCTTGTCTGTGGAGGACACTGCTCCAACTATGTGGGCTGTCTGCCTGCCTATATCACCACTGTTACTGCAGTGTCTGAGAGGCTCATGAATATTTATGAATGTACCCCTCTCTCTCTAGAAGGCAGGGAAGTCTTATCTTTAGTTGTGGAACTGAAGCATAAAAGGCTTGATTAATCAAGTCTGCTGGAACGTGCTAATTACTGTGTTCCAGCAGCCTCCATGTCACATGTATTTAGCTTCCCCACCTTTCAAAGTGGTGGCCCAGCTGCTTTAACTAAAGCTTGTTGAACGAACTATAGTTAAATTGCCCCCAATACCATTTTGAAGCATGGGGTGCAGAATACATGTTGAAGTGTTGCCCACCCCTCCACTCTGGAGCATATGTATAGATGCCCAAAGAGAGTAAAAACCCAGATCTGGAGGCCCAGAACTTTAATCACAAGGCCATTCTTTCTCCTTCAAGGCTACAAATGAAGTGCTCTGAAAATTGTAACAGATGGTGAGAGAGCTTGAGGTAAGTGTCATGTGAGTTTAGCTTGATCCAAGTATCCAGACATGCCTATTTAAGAAGAAAGCAATTACTAAGCTACATATTTTTTTTTTTCTTTCTTGCAGCTCTAAGTTGGAAGAACAAAGGGCAGGCAAAAATTTAGTCTTTGCACAGACAAAAGACATTAAATTAACCAAACCTTATTGTGCTGAAGATTTTGATGAACAAACATGGTAGTTTGATTTTTAATTGATTCCAGCTGTCATTCCCCATTTCTAGTCTTGCTAGGCTTGGAAAACTGCTCTTTTCTTTGGGTGCACTTCTCTTTTTTCTGTTACTAGCTGCCAGAATTACTATTGTTGTGCACTGGGAAGGCTTGCAAAAATTGGAGTGTTCTGAACCATGGGAGAAATAATTAGCTGGTAAGCCAGGTTGATGTGACACATACTTCCACTCATAGCTCTCTTTCATGACCTGCAAGGAACTAGGAGTTGGATGTGAACAGAGAAATTTTCCTGTCCAGCCATGTTGCTGCCAGATCAGAAAATACATACAACTCTGCATAAGCTGCTTGATAACAGATTGTACTGTGATGTCTTTCCATACCTCCTGTTGAGGTGATCTCTTCACAGTATGTAAGTGGGACCAGTTTCTGTCTCACACGCCTACTGAAGCCAGAGATTTCTGGGCCCTTTTAATTGTTTTTTTTTTTTTTTTTCTTTCAGTAGCAAAAGCCAAGGGGATGTAGACTTTTATTTTCTTTCTGTATAATTTGGTAAGAGTTGAAAGAACCTTGTCCACTGGTTATTTATCATCATTATAACAAATTATTTGAGCTCCAAACAAGGTGGAAGAGTGGGGTGGATTAGCTAAGCAGCTTTCTATTCCATTGCAAACTCTTAATGAAATTTCGGTGTAATTTCATAGTTTGCCTTTATCTCTCGCTGGTGCTTTTCAATTCTGGGAAAAAATAAAATATTGGCAAGATTTTCTATTTCCTGAGGTGTATTAATTGGAAGAACATTCTTCACTAATTGCCAGAAGGTAAAACAGGTCTTCCTTTAGAAAATAATTATTTCCTTTGTTCATGCTGCAGATGTAACTTTGTGATTTGTAGGATATCTTGACAGCCCTATCTAGATGCATTTGCATTAAATCAATAATTTTCCATTTTGCTTATTAAAACCAAGCCCCACATAACTGGGAATTGTTATGAGAATTAATTAATGTCCCTTTATTGAGTTTTCCTGTTTTGTAATTAAGGAGTATTTGTACTGTGGACTCTGAGACTATGGTAACAATAATTCTTAGAAAACTCTTATGGGCCTTGATTTTTTTTTTTTTCAGCTGAGACACAGGACAGACTTGATTTAGAGTCCATGGAGGAACTGATCTTCTGCATAAGAAAGCAGAAGCAAGACCAATGTAGGATGAGAAGTTGAAATTGCCCAAGTAGAGGCCATAACAAATAAAGATGTGATATGATGCTAAATGTTAATCCTTTCACTCTTTTGCTCTGTAACTTAGATGTAGAGCAGGAATGAACCAGTTGTTGTTGTTGTTGTTCTGTGAAACTGTTGTAAAAATCACAATCCCAAATTTTACCTGATGTCATGTCTGTCTACTCGTCCTCTGGCATGTTTGGGAATGCCTACTCATGCTCAGTGTCATTTTCTCTGCAAAATGAGGCATTGTTGAACATGTGTCTGTTCTGAAACTCAGTGCAGTAAAACCTTGTTAATTTGAAAGGGGGGATAAAAAAATACCAGCTTCAAGATAAATGGGTTTGGAATAAATGTAGGGATAGTAATTTGAATTACTATGGGCACATACTATGAGTACATACAGACTTCGTTTACCCATGTGCCAATCTTACAAACTGATAAGACAAAGTGAGGGGTTATCCCAATGATTAATTAATAGGGCTGTTCAAAGCTTTGGTCACTGATTCGATTTGACCAGATTCAGTGGTCAAATCTCTAAATCCGAATTGAATTGGGAGACCCTTTAATCTCTTCGAATCGAATCGGAACCCTCTGAATTGATTCAGAGAGATTTGGAGAGATTATGATTCAGCCATAGACACAGCTTTAACTGTTTTTTTTTCTACGTACCTCAAGATACCCGGCAGCTCGTGAATGCTGAGATGGTGGGGTGGATGGAGTGTCCTATGGGAGCATGGGGGGCGGGGTCCCCAGTGCTCTCAATGGTGGACCTGGAAGTGGGCCAGAATCCCGCCTCCCGGCTCAGTGACTGGTGCCTCCTGGGTCTGGGGCAGCACCCAGTATCCCCTTGTGCCTCACCATCTCAGCATTCACAAGCCATGCCTGGTACCTTGAGGTATGTAGAAAAAACATTTAAAGCTGTGTCTATAGCTGAATCACTGATTCTCCGAATCAGCATTGAATCTTCAGATTTAGATTCGGCTGAATTGAACTGGGACAGTGATCTGAATCAATTAATCAAATCATTGTTCCCCAAACTGGGCTGGATCCCAATTGAACATGACCTGCTTTTCACACCCCTACCAAATAAGCATATTTCGTGGGATGTAGCACAAGGGAGTTCCTAATGTAGACTAGCAACAATGATCTAGAGGCCTTTTTTTTTTTCTGCTTATATCAATCTAAGTCCTGTCATCTTCCCACTGCCCCATCCTACCCAACTCCTAGCACACTCAGCATCCCTAATCATGTGAAACCACCCTGTTCCCGCTAAATCCCAATTTTGCCCTACATCATGCATGTACTGGGGGCTGCTGCCTCTACCTTCTGCCCTTGCAGACTCCCATGCACCCTGGCATTTGCTATCCTCAGCCCTGGCTACCCTGCATGCTCCCACTCCCTGGGGCACTCCTGGGGCAACCCCTGATCATGCCAAACTGAAGTTTTTCCAGGCTATGGACCACTGTGCAGTTCCTGCAGGGAGCATTGTGCAATAAGAGGCTGGCCAGAAATGGCTGGAGGGAGGCAGGGGCTGTGTCTCCTCTGCCTTTAAGTGTGATGGTGAGCAGTGACCAAGCCATTCAGGCATGAGGACCTGCCTCTGTAGGCAGCACATAATGGGCCACACCTAGGTGAACTAAGTCTGTATGTACCCATAGTAATTTGGATACATAAAAATTACTATCTGTACAGTTATTTTGAACCTATTTATTTCAAAGTAAGTATTTTTTGGTTCCCTTTGTTTTGAATTAATGAGGTTTTCCTGGTCCAAGGGACCAGAAAACTGCTTCGGATTTTAAAGGAGACATATTTTGAATTATCTGTATCATAATGCATATAAAAACCTATCCTTTTAGCTGGGGAGTAAGGGTGGCTTCAAGCTATCTGACACTCTGCACTATCTGATATTGAAATAACAAGGTTTTATCCTAGTTCTTCTATAGACTTCTCAGTGACTCAGGGCAGGACACTTAGAACTAGATCCAGTAAAGCAGGGTTGTCAAGCTCATCCAGCCCTGTGGGCCAGATGAGGGTCACTGAGCCAATCTGCAGGCTGGACCAGAAGCCAGGTGCAGTCCAAGTGCTGTGTGCAACACATATTGTCCCCATGGCTTGCTGTGCACATGATGCACAGGGCTAGCATGGACTGCATGCTACCTGCAGCATGTGGGCTGAACCTGGTGCTGCATGTAGTACAGGGTATCTGGGGCACAGGCCACATGCAGCACCCCAGACTGATGCCCTGTGCTGTATGCAGCATTGGGTCCAGTCCACATGCTGTGGACAGCACGCACCCCATGCCACCCCCATAGCAAGCCCTCAGGCTGGAGCATACCGCATGTAGTACACCGAGTTGGGCTGGCCAGTATGGGGTACATGCTGGCCACAGTACCCTGCTGTACCAGTCCTGAGTGCTGGTTCCAGCATGGTCCAATCCAGACCAGCTCTGGAGATAGCGTGCAGAGCTGGTCCAGTGTGAATATTGCATGCAGCACACGCCTTGGACTGATCTTTGGTGCTGCATGCAGGGTGTGTGGTGCTAGTTCCCGCCAATGTGCCACAGACAGCGCATAGGGCCAGGGCTGAGGCTGGGGCTGGCATGAAGGGTTGGTCCTGAGGTCCATGGGCTAGATCATGTGGCTCCACAAGCTGGATCTGGCTCACAGACCGCATGTTTGATACCCCTTCAGTAAAATACTTAAAAATGGAATCTAAGTTTTAGAAACTTGGGGTCATGCTTTGGTAAGTGGTAGGCTCCTCAGAGTGGGATTCTCAACAGTCAACACACCAAGCTGGGAGCTGCCTATGTATGAGTCAATAGGAAATTCTGAGTAGAGAGCATGGATAAAATTCCACCTGTCTCTGGGGCCAAGGCCCATACCTCCTTCCTCTAGTGCAGGGGTTTTCAACCTTTTTTAAGGAGTGTACCTCTTCTGAGTACACTTCTGGTGGAGCAGGGGGTGGGGGTGGGGGTGGCAGTGGCTGGATGTGGAGCTGGTGGGTAGCAGCAGCCAGATGTGAAGCAGGGAGGGGGAGAGCCCTTACTGTGGGCAGCAGCCTCTGTCACACTGGGGGAGAACGAGCTCCGTGGGCTGTGCTTTGGGCTTGGGCTACAAGCACAGGGGGGCTGCTGGCCCTGCTGCTGCTGCTCTGTGCCCAGAGACAGCATCTGGCCCCAGACCCCCGCACTGCTGTGCGCAGCCCAAGCCCTCGGCACAGCCCCTCACTGGGAAGGGGCTCGTTCTCCCCCACAGTGTGACAGAGGCTGCTGCCCCCAGTAAGGGCTCTGTCCCTCCCACCACAGCGGCAGGGAGGGGGCACGGCCAGGCAGGGCCCCTAGGGGAGGCAGGCACAGGGTTATTCCTCCTGCCTCTGGCTTTTGGTGGAAGGCACAGCCGGGGATCTATTTCAGGCAGGGCGCTACCTCCCAGCCTGTCTGTTTCAGAATGGGAGCAGGGAAAGGAAGCTTATTCTAGGGGTTCCCCAGCCAGCACTGGAGGGTGGGATGGGTGCATTGGAGCCCACCACACCTTGGGCACTGAAAAACTTCCAGACCAAACTCCCTCTGCTCCCTTCCTTCCCCCCACCCCATTCTGAAAACAGTGACGAGCTGGGAGGTAGCACAGACAGAAGTTATTAAAGATGCTATGTTTTGAAACATCTTTTCTGATGCCTCATGTAATAAGGGTTTAGATTTTCACCCAATGCCATTTTTGAAGTGGTCTGCAGCTGTGTACTTGTGTTTGGTCATGGGTGTAGACTGTTTTCTGTGGCCAGATGGGGCGAAACTTGTCACTTCTGTCTATGCCATAACAGACAAGATCTCAAGGCCTATGCAGTTCCCAAATACCCAGTGAATAGTGAACAACTGCAACAGGAAGGAGCACAGTGCCTCAAGACTAAAATAGTGACCAACCCCCTGAATTATAGTCTCTTTTGGTAGGTGGGAGCTTTCTGCTTGATGGCAACTTACACCTGGAACTCTCCACTTAACATGCAAGTTCTCTACTAGGCTCCTGGACTGCTCAGTCCTATGTACATGTTTTTTTTTTAATGAAATTGGTAATTATGGCTGTCTTGTGCACAGTTTTAACCTTTACATGAGGCCTGAGCATACTTAAAAATACCCACCTAATGAGGTGGATGGAGACATAGCTAGTTTGTGGATCCTGCTGCACTCAGGGATGAGCTTGGTTCTCTGGTAGTGATCACTGACAAGACTTGAGGCCCTTCTGAGAACACAGAGAGGCAGACCTCTAGGTGCATAAGAACATTTGCTGGTGAAAACTTGAGCTCCTACAGGATCAAGAATGGACTCCTGGATGTAAGCGCCTAAAATTCTCCCTAAGCCTTTGAATTTGGGCATAGGTCTACCTATGTCTTGGTTTCCCAGCTGTCAAATAGGGATTAGTAGTACTTCCCTGTTTCTTGGGTTGTTGGAGATATGTTAAATGACGTATTTTGATACTACCTAGATAACAGCATAATTTGGTATTTTCCATTGAACCAGGAATGCATTACTAGTTTGGCATTTTCTGGGTACTTTAAAAGTTACGGGGGGGGGGGTTGAAGAAGAAGGGAAAACTGGTTGCTGTTATTCCTTAGGTAATATAGATACTTAATGCAACATTGTAATTATTTAAACATATAACACCTATTGCTGGGTCCTATTCACATACTGCCAGAAGAAGCAAAGTGGTTCTCAGGTTTCCCAGGCTATATCACTTGTTACTGTTCATCCTCAGACTATTTTCCCCACACTTGCCCTGAACAGTCTATCATCATCTCAAAGTTGTTTGTTTGGCACCATGTGTCATTAGTTAACAGTATATTGGTGCCAAAAAGTCTAACCAAGTCAAGGTCAAGGTCTTGTTCTGCTGGGTGCTGTAAAATCCTGAAGGGCATAGACTATGCAGTCTGTACATTACTGAATCCAAGTATTCCAAAGCAGGACTAGCCTCAAAAAAGGTAATCAGATTTTTAAGAATACTTTGTTCTAGGTTTCAGGCCTTTGAGGTAAAGTTTATGGGAAACAAACATATGAATATGATTAGCATATAAATTTGTCTGTAGACTCTAACCTCAGGTGCACATCATAGGTGTACTAGGGTCTTGTGTAGAGTTTGGCTTGTGAGGATATGCTGTT